CAGGAGAATTGCCTGAACCCAGGAGGCGGAGGTTGCGGTGAGCCGAGATCGCGCCATTGCACTCCAGCCTGGGTAACAAGAGTGAAACTCCGTCTCAAAAAAAAAAAGAAAAAGGGAAGATAGTGCCAAGGAATGGCTAGATTATCTTTGCTGTAAAAGTGAGTTGTTAAGCAAAATTTTATACCTCTCTCCATCTCTCATCTTTGTTCTCAGGCCCCTCACCGTTCCCCAACCAACAAACTCCTCCCTCAATGATGCCAGGGGCAGTGCCAGGCAGCGGGCACCCAGGCGTGGCGGGTAATGCTCCTTTGGGTTTGCCTTTTGGCATGCCGCCTCCTCCTCCTCCTCCTGCTCCATCCATCATCCCATTTGGTAGTCTAGCTGACTCCATCAGTATTAACCTTCCCCCTCCTCCTAACCTGCATGGGCATCACCACCATCTCCCGTTCGCCCCGGGCACTCTCCCCCCACCTAACCTGCCTGTGTCCATGGCGAACCCTCTACATCCTAACCTGCCGGCGACCACCACCATGCCATCTTCCTTGCCTCTCGGGCCGGGGCTCGGATCCGCCGCAGCCCAAAGCCCTGCCATTGTGGCAGCTGTTCAGGGCAACCTCCTGCCCAGTGCCAGCCCACTGCCAGGTGAGAAGGGACCAGGAGGGGAGAAGGGTGAGGGAGAGGGGTCCACGTGGAGGGAGGGCGAGTGGGCAGGTGGGGAAGAGGTCAGGTAGTAGTTTCCACAATCCTTTTTGAACACTCTGGTAAAATTAGAATATAGGAGGAAGGGCCTCTCTGGCTGTCCTCCACCATTCCCCAGCCTGGCAGCTGCCACCTTTGGGATGATTTGGGGGCCTTTCACTGGTGGGTCATGGAGCAATCCTGTGGCACAGAGCATCTCAGTTGTAAACTTGAAAGGCAGTTGTTTGCATGATGATTGATTGGCATCCCTTTGCTTGTTCCCATCACATTCAAATGCCCCATTTAGAGAGTCTCCCTTCTATCAGTTTTTCTCAGTATGAAGTGGAAGAGGGTGCTGGGAACAGAAGTTGAACATTGTGGGTACCTCATTCATCCACCCAGCCACTGCATGCTATGCCCAGTTCTGTCTGTCTGTGGTGGTCTGGGTCTGGAGCCCCCTCTCCTGCGCACTCTAACTGATTCCTCTTTCTTTTCTCCACAGACCCAGGCACCCCCCTGCCTCCAGACCCCACAGCCCCGAGCCCAGGCACGGTCACCCCTGTGCCACCTCCACAGTGAGGAGCCAGCCAGACATCTCTTCCCCTCACCCCCTCTGGAGATCATGGTTCCAGGAACAGCCCTTTCCCAACCACTGGGACCCTCCCCAGCCCGGAGAGTACATCACTACGTAAGGAAAGCTCCTTCCGCCCCTCCAAAGCCCTCACCATGCCCAACAGAGGCGTGCATTTTTATATCAGATTATTCAAGGACTTCGGTTTAAAAGATATTTCTAACATCTGGGAGAGAGGATAGGATAGGATAGCTGCCCTAAAGGAAGGGCTGGTGAAAGGTGTTTATACAAGGTTCTCATTAACCACTTCTAAGGGTACACCTCCCTAGAAACTACTGCATTTTCTATGGATCAAAAAAAAATTAATCCCTTTAAAAGGAAGTAGATTTTAAAAAGCCACATTGGAGCTCCCTTTTACCCACTAAAAAATAACCAGCTTTTACATTTTTTGAGGGGGAGTGAGTTTTAGGAAAGGGGAATTAAGGTTCCAGGGAGAGCTCTGGGGATAGAACAGGGTGCAGAATCTATCTCTTCCCAAGCCCCTTTTTAGTGACTGTGTCAAGGCCCCAGCTCCCCTCCCCCACCCCACTCCACGCTTATTCGTACTAATAACCCCTCCTTCGGCTTCCTCATTGTTGCTGTTTTAGGCCACCCCAGCTCAGCCAATGATTCCTTTCCCTCTGAATGTCAGTTTTGTTTTGTTTTTAAAAGTCACCTGCTTAGTTGATGTCAGCGTATGTGTATTTGGTGGGGAAAACCTAATTTCGGGGATTCCTGTGGTAGGTAATAGGAGAAGAAAGGGCACTGGGGGCTGTTCTCCTCCCTTCCCTGGGCTGTATCCATGGACTGCTGGAAGGCGCAGAGAAGGGAGCTGTAAGAGGATGGGAAGTTTTAAAACCCAAAATTGTTTTTTTAAAGCACTTAAGCACCTCCTTATTATGACTTGGTGGGTCACCCCCGAACCGCCTCCCTCTCCCACCACGACTGTGAGAACTTCAGCTAATAGCTGGGGGCTCCCCAGATGAGGATGCAGGGATCTGGGAGCAGTAGAAGAGGGTCCCCAACCTTGGGTTGGACCAGCCCTTGGCTCGCAGCTCAATTCTGCTTCCTGCATTCCTGCTCCACGTCCCAGCTCCTCCCCAGTGACTGAAAGGCAGGTGTGGCTCCAGGCTCTGCACCGGTTCTTCTTGGTTCTCCCACCAAGCCCTTTGTTCCTCATGTCCCTGTGTTTCTCTCCCTTTGCGTCTTAGCACCTTTCTTCTGTTCAAAGTTTTCTGTAAATTTTCTTTTTTCTTTCCTTTTTTTTTTTTTTTTTTTTTTTTTTTTTTTTTTTTTTTTTTTTTTTTTTTTTTTTTTTTTTTTTTTTTTTTTTCTTACCTGTGGCTGTCAGGCAGGGGGATTGGGATGGGAGCAGCTTTCCTGGAGTCCTTCACAGCAGTGTTTATCTGGGCTAGAGAGACACTCTGCGAGCCACAGAGCCTACAGATACACCTCACCACACAATGCGAACAGCAGCACAGCTTTCAGGACCATATATAGGAGCAGAGGCTATGTATGTATGTATAAGACTATGTATAAGAGCAGAGGCTATGTATATATGTATAAGACTATGTATAAGAGCAGAGGCTTATACCTTTTAGGGCAGGTCTAAGAGCAGAGGCTCTCACTTGCCCTAAAAGCTATTTAAGACTTGGAAGGACATTCCCACAACATGGAGATTTTGTATCTTTTTCCCTTCAGAAGTAGTGGTTTCACTCCTCCCTTATTAGGGAGGAGGCAAGCCCCTTTCCTACTTCTGTTATTATTGGCCCTTCGCCCTGCTGAGGTGCTGGGCAGGCCTAGGCAGTGCTAATAATGGCCTGGCTTTAGCTCCAATAAATACTCCACAGGCTTCCCCACAAAAGGCCTTATTGGGAGATTGGGAGGGCAGGGGCCAGATTTAAGGAGCTGAAAGGCTAGAAGACAGTCAGCCTGATATGGAATGGAACAGGGATGACCAGCCTTGGTCCTGCTGGGATCTATGACTTTCCTAATCTCCCAAGAGGTAGCTTGTGTAAGATGGATGAATGGGGCCAGCAGTTCTTAACTGGAGCCCAGTTAGTACGGGGCCTTCCCCAGCTTTCCTCAACCCGCTGCTCCATTGACCTCGGACTCTGCCTCAGGGCAGAAATCATCACCACCTCACCTTCTTCCACTTTACCCTGCTCAGGAAAGAAAGCAGAACCAAACCGAGGGCCCAGAGAGCAAGTTTTATTTGGTGAATGCTGATGGCAAACATCATCCAAGAGAGACAAGATGGGAAAGGTGCTGAGACAAGATAGCCTAGGGAGCCTTCAGGCTAGATACAAAATTCACTCAGGGAAAGGCACGGACTCTGGGGAGACTGGGAAGGTCCTCAGCCATTCAACACCATGCGGACGAGCTCTTCGTAGTTGATACAACCATTGCTGTCCTCGTGCCCTGCCACCAGCATCTCTACTTCTTCCTCTGTCATCTTCTCACCCAGTGTGACAAGAACATGCCTGATTTCAGCACCCATGACGGTGCCATTTCCTTCCTTGTCAAAAACCCGAAGTCCTTCGACATAATCCTCATAGGTGCCCTGGTCCTTGTTCTTGGCCACTGTCTGCAGCATGGGCAGAAAGTGCTCAAAGTCCAGCACCTTCACATTCATCTCATCACTCTTGGGGTTCCCTAGGACCTTGAGCACCTCGGCGTTGGTGGAGTTCTGGCCCAGGGCCCTCATCACGTCCCCACACTGGCTGTACAGGATCTTGCCATCACCTGTTCGGTCAAACAGCTGGAAGGCCTCCTTGAACTCTGCGGTCTGGTCTTCGGTGAAGTCACACATCTTGACTGCTCAGCTCTGCGGCACCTTTTTGTGCCCTTGCATTCTTGTATGAATTTTAGTTTTTTAAACTTTTATTTATTTTGAGAAGAAGTCATGCTCTGTCGCTCAGGCTAGAGTGTGGTGGTGTGATTTCAGCTCAATGCAGGTTCAGGTGATTCTCCTGCCTCAGCCTCCCGAGTATCTGGGATTACAGGTGTGCACCACCATGCCCGGCTACTTTTTGTATTTTTAGTAGAGACAGGGTTTCACCATGTTGGCCAGGCTGGTCTCAAAGTCCTGACCCGCTGTGATCCGGCTGCCTTGGCCTCCCAAAGTGCTGGGGTTATAGGCGTGAGCCACTGTGCCCAGCCCTGTGTGAATTTTAGAGTCAGCTTGTCAGTTGTATGCGTTGAATTGATAGATCAGTTTGGTGTAGAGCTGCCATTTTGTCAATATTGAGTCTTCTCAATAAAGATTGTATTTAGATCTTTAACTTCTCAGCAATATTTCATAGTGTTCAGTGAAGTCCTGTATGTCTTCTGGTAAATGTTTCCCCTGCATTTCATTCCTTTCAATGTGATTACAAAGAAGACAATGCCTGCTGGCTATGGCATTGAGGAGGGGTCTCCAGTGGGCAAGAATGTCTGGGCCTGGTGAGGAAAGAGCCCCGTGCCCCATGCTGTGTCTAGGAGAACCCCTTGGGGAGGCAGGTGGCCAAGTGCATGGAGGAGTCACTGAGCCGGCTTCACTTGTCCTGAGGCCCCCTGGGAAACGATCTGTCAGCCCCAATGAAGCGTGTTGTCTCCACCCAGGGAGCTAGGGGAGTTCTCCAGACTGGCTTTTAATTACGTGAGGTGTGTTCACGCCAACTTCAGCATGCCTCTGGGACCTGTTTAGGGGAAAAGCAATTCCACAGCTAAACATTTGCCATACTGTGTATCTGGGAATGGGGCTGAAATTCATATTAAAATGTGCCAAGTCAAGGGACTCATAGGAGTTTCTGAAGATATTTTAGGCTTTCACTCCTAGGCTCCTTCTAAGACATTTATTAAGTGCCTGCTGGGTGCCTGATTGGGCCTGGGACAGGTACACAGACACGGCTGGTGCTTGCCCGCTAGGTGGGCACAGGGTCCTGCCCTGCGTCTTCTCCTCTGGGAGGTGCAGGATATGAACAATGGGCATGATAGGAATAGGACACACACTTCAGAGGCTGCAGAAGACGATCTGTGGGTGTCCACATGGAGCTATCCCTGCACGGGGTTCTCATCGTCAAACAAGGTTCGTGCCACCTGTTTTGGTCACTGTCTTCCCCATTTGCTTATTTATTTATTTATTTATTTATTTGTGATGGAGTCTTGCTCTTGTCGCCCAGGCTGGAGTGCAGTGGCCTGATCTCGGCTCATTGCAACCTCTCTGCCTCTTGGGTTCAAGCAATTCTTCTGCCTCAGCCTTCCCAGTAGCTGGGATTATAGGCGTCTGCCACCATGCCCGGCTGATATTTTGTATTTTTAGTACAGACGGGATTTCACCATGTTGGCCAGATTGGTCTCCAACTCCTGAGCTCAGGTAATCCGCCTGTCTTGGCCTCCCAAAGTGCTGGGATTACAGGTATGAGCCACTGCGCCCATCCCATTCTTTGCTCTTTATTCTTTTGAAGGTGCACTGAAGATTTACAAATATGAGGAAATGCACATTTTCTGTTTTCCTTAGTTTTAAGGACTGTATAAAGCATTTTAATAAAATGATTTTTTTTTTTGGAGACAGAGTCTTTCTCCTTTACCCAGGCTGGAGTGTAGTGGCGCGATCTCAGCTCACTTGCCACCTCTGCCTCCTGGGCTCAAGCAATTCTCTTGCCTCAGCCTCCTAAGTAGCTAGGACTACAGGTGTACCACCACACCCGGCTAATTTTTGTATTTTTAGTTAGAGATGGGGTTTTAACATATTGGCCAGGACTCCGCCTCCCAAGCTCAAGTGATCCTCCCACCTCAGCCTCCCAAGGAGCTGGGAGTACAGGTGCACACCACCACTCCCGGCTAATTTTTGTATGTTTTTGTAGAGACGGGGTTTCACCATGTTGCCCAGGCTGGTCTCAAACTCCTGAGCTCAAACATCACCCTCTTTGACCTTCCAAAGTGCTGGGATTACAGGCATGAACCACTGCGACTCACCTCTCTCAAGGTTTTCTGACTGGTCTTGGAGCTTGTCCTGTCCTGGTGTCCCCCCCCACCCACCACCTTCAGCACCTGGCCCCTTCTCTCACTGCTGCTCCTGCCCACTCACCGTGGTTTGGTGGTCACAGCTGTTGGGGGAGTTGCAGACACCGAGGAGCTGCTCTTGATGGGAGTGAGTTTGGCATGTGATGCCCATTTCTCACCAAGGAGGGAGGGGCACATAGATGCAGAGACAGAGAGAGATGGACCTGACCGTCAGATCCTCCCCACCCTCCTACAGCAGGCTTCTACAGCACAGCCTCTGTGAGGATGGAAATGCTTGCTTCCGGGCTGCTGTCCTCACAGTGGCCACGGGCTGGGGAGGTGCTGGCCACCTGGGGTCACTGTGCTCCAGCAGTTGAGAGAGGCAGAGCATTGGCTGCAAGAAAGGACGATTCTGGGTGGGGTGGCAGGGGGCCCAGGACCAGCCCTCGTCGGCAGGGCTGGCAGGAAGCCCCCCACCCCTGGTGGAGGAGCCCCAGCATCTGCTGGGCACAGTGGGTACAGTCTGGTGGAGACACGGCTGGTGGAGGACGTGCAGGCACAGTGCCAGTGGAGGACGTATGGGCATGGCCGGTGGAGGACATGTGGGCACAGTCCGGTGGAGGACGTATGGGCACAGCTGGTGGAGGCCATGCGGGCACAATGCCAGTGGAGGACATGTGGCCGCAGCTGGTGGAGGACTCG